GGGAGGGGGTGGGAGGGGGGAGAATAGGGGAACCCATGGCTGATATGTAGAACTGAATGGTATTGTAAAATAAAATAAAATAAAATAAAAAGAAAGTTTTAAAAAAAAGAACTAGATAGCAAGAAGCCTGTCACAGCCATACAGTCTATAAGTAATATAAGTCTCTGTGTGTTTGCTTGGGTCTGAGCGGCTGCAGCCCAAGCGGGGCTGGAGAAAATACAGCTACAATTCTCAGGGTCAAGTGTCTCGGGACACACCCATAATAGTAATGCTTGGGTGGTGGCAGCAAGAGGATCAGGAATTCAAGGCCAGCCTTGGCTACATGCAAGTTTAAGGGCTGCTGGGCTAGGTGAGACTCTGTCTCAAAAAGCCAATCGAACAAACATACAAAGATCAATAACAAAATCCCATTCTCAAATACAAGAGTGTCTTTATTTTTAGGAGACTCTGTGATAGTTATAAAATTAGAGATACTATTTCCAAACAAGAATGCCCACTGAGTCAGGCCTGACCTTGTCTTTCTGCATTTTGTTTCAAAGGCCAAAAAAAAAAAAAAAAAATGTGGGGGTTGGGGGGAGAGCACCTGAGGATTTAGCACAGTTGGTAGAGCACTTGCCTAGCATGTACAAGGCCCTGGGTTCAGTCCCCAGCATTGCTTAAAACTAGGGTGGTGGTACACACACCTGTGATCTTGGCAGTTAGGCAGTGAATTATTTTGGAGCGAACAGCCTCCTTTTTCATATCTCCTGGATCTTTGTGTGCTGTGGGATGTTAATGTATGTCCTGTGGGAGCCCGTTCTTGGGTTCCTCGTGGCTTTACCCAGCAGGTCCGCATAGAGGATGATTAGGACCATGAGCCTGAGTGCAGGTGTCTGAGATGGTCTGCACCTGGCTGTGCTGGGGGATGGTCTGTATATCAAGTTGCTCTGATTGGTCAATAAATAAAACCTGATTGGCCATGGCTAGGCAGGAAGTATAGGCGGGACTAACAGAGAGGAGAAATAAAAGAACAGGAAGGCAGAAGGAGACACTGCAGCCGCCTACCAGGACAAGCAGCATGTGAAAATGCCGGTAAGCCACGAGCCACGTGGCAAGGTATAGATTTATAGAAATGGACTAATTTAAGATATAAGAACAGTTAGCAAGAAGCCTGCCACAGCCATACAGTTTGTAAGCAAAATAAGTCTCTGTGTTTACTTGGTTGGGTCTGAGCAGCTGTGGGACTGGCTGGAGACAAAGATTTGTCCTGACTGTGGGCCAGGCAGGAAAACTCTAGCTACATTTGTATGTGATTTAATGTCTATATGTAGCTTAGAAATTTCAATAACTATGGATATTTGAAATGGAAGACAACAGAAAAACACAAACTGTAATGCAAGCTTTTTAGCAGGGCAGTGTCTATAGTCCAGAGTTCAGTTCAACCCTCCCTTCCTCCCAGGAGCAAACAGAGGTTTTTGTTGTTGTGAGTCACTGTTATAAAACCAGTGAGCTGTCCTCTATGAAAAGAACTAATTAACAAGCCACCTTTACTTCAGGGTTACCCTGAGTCACAACCCTAGAAACTATTTTTTACACAGAACACTGTTGTCATGATAATGCACGGCCACAAACACACCCTCCAAGATGTGTATTTGCTGAAAAACTTAAGTGTTGAGGACTTCTTTCTACCACTAAGATGGAAAGAACAAGAGATTGGGGGAAAAGGGTAGTGAATACAAAATAGACTTACTTTCAAATGCTCCACCTCCCCCCATGTAAATACCAGTGATCTACCCACAAAACATATGCATTTGGATTTTATTCTCCAATAGTGAGAGTAAAATTTTTGCAGCCCACAGTGTCTCAACTTGTAGCTAAGAGCATATATTAAATGGCTGTTAGAGGAGTAGCCAGAAAGCTCTGTGGTTAAGAGTACCTGCCACTCTTTCAGAGGACTCCCATTCAATTCCCAGTACCCACATCAGGTGGCTCCCAACCACCTCTAACACCCCCTTCCAGCCTCTGTGAACACACACACAGCGTACATACAGAGACATACACATACGCATAAATAAAAAAAATGGACAAAATTTTTAAATGGTTATTATAACCTGATATTCAAGTGTGGCCATGAAATTAAGAATTATATTTCTTTCTTTCTTTCTTTTTTTTTTTTTTTTTGGTTTTTCAAGACAGGGTTTCTCTGTGTAGCTTTGCGCCTTTCCTGGAACTCACTTGGTAGCCCAGGCTGGCCTCAAACTCACAGAGATCCGCCTGGCTCTGCCTCCTGAGTGCTGGGATTAAAGGCGTGCGCCACCACTGCCCGGCAAGAATTATATTTCTTATTAGGCCCATGTTTTAATGGGTTCTTGTCAAACCAGAAGAAACTAATTTTTGCAAACTACCTATGAGAAAACAACTCCATAAACAGAAATGGTAATTCTGTGGCTGGAGCAGAGATTTTAGGCAACATTAATGAAACTGTATAGCTAGCTAGCTACATGTTTATTGGATATTTTGGGGGTCTCAATCCATTTGTAACAAAAAAATTTCAAGGTTTGGGGATGTAATTCAGTAGGAGAGTCCTTGCCTAGCATCCACAGGCTCAGGCTTCATCTCCCAAAACTGCAAAATAATAATAAAATTGGAATAAAAATACAGAATCAAGCTACTGTAATTGCATGTAAGTTATCATTTTAGAGAAATTTTCACTCACATAACTGACCTGTGTATGTACAAACATTGAATAGGAGCAGATAAACTAACTAGGAACAGGGGCCACAAAGCATTAAAATGAGAGACTAACATTATGTTAGGGTCTCACTTTTGCCCTATTTGTATCCAGGCAACGCTGCATGTGTTGATTGGGAAATAAGAATATATGCAGCCAATTCGGATAACCTTTGCTTATATTCTGTAACTTCAAAAACATGTACAAAGAATGAAAACAACAGTCTCTATATGCTAGATTACAAATTCCCTGGGAAGTATAAAAGACAAGGTATTAGTATGTTTCATTTTAGAACTATAAATAGTCCATGCTCTGCCCACGTTGGGAGCATGCACTCTTGTGTAGATAATAGGCACAGTCCATCTTGTTCTTGTTTTGAAATGTGCCTTCCATTCTCAGTTAATGTATGAAAGAATGGTTGGAACATCATGTGACACTCACCTTTGGTCACCCATGATTTCCTCTGAAGAAGACATCAGATGAAAGGCAAACTCAGCCACGATGAGTTAAGCTGCGTATGAACAGACTACATCCACATGTATTCTGTTCAAACAGTACCCTGCTACTCAGTTTACCCCCGGCCCAGCCTTTCCCGTCCACACTTGGTGTTAGAAGCTCCCATTCAGTTTCCCTCATCCCGTCACATCACAGCAATACACACAGAGCATTTCCCAACACCCACCTTTTGAAACTGATTCCATCAGATGGTAGTGCCCCATTGTACTATTTATCCAACTGTGACACTGACATGCTTGTGTGTGTGTGAGTGTGAGTGTGTGATATATATGTGTACTTGTACGTTCAGATACACGTGTGCTATCCAAAGTCCACATCTTCCTTTATTGATCTCCACCTTATTTTTAAAGACAGGATCTCTCACTGAACCTGGAGTCTGCTGACAGGCCCCAGGGATCCTCTCAGCACTGGCGTTGCAGGTCTGGGCTGCCGTGCCTGGCTTTCTCTGTGGGTGCTGGGGATCTGAACTCAGGTCCTTATGCTTGAATAGCAGGCACTTTACCCACTGAGCCCTTGCCTCACTCCTAATTTTTGGTTTTGTTGTGTTTTTTAAAGATTTATTTGAACTATATGTTGGTTGGTGTGTGCACATGAGTGCTGTTGCCCTTGGAGGTCAGAAAAGGGCATCAGATTCCCTGGAGCTGGAGTTACAGACAGCTGTGAGTCACTTGGTTCTGGTGCAGGGAGCTGAACTCGGATCTTCAAGGGCAGCAAGTGCTCTTAACCCCTGGGCTGTTTCTCCAGCCCCCATTGTGGGTCTTTGAGACAGGGTCTCCTGTAGCTCAAGGTAGTGTCAAACTCATTGTATGGCTGTGAGACTTTGAACCCCTGATCCTCCTGCCTCCACTTCCCAAGTGCTGGGACTACAAGCCTGTGCCCTCATGCTCAGCTCACAAAGGTTTTCATATTGTTTCCTAAGCCTCACTTTCCCATCAGCCTTGTGAATTTTTCGCATACTGTAGTAACACTTAGCTAGGCTTGTACTATATTACAGCAGAACTGACTAGTTTTTATGTAATTTGATGTAAACATATTTCTGTCTCAATATTTGTGCACCTGCTACTGTTTGCCTTCTAAGACTTCTGGTACTGTTTAAGATCCTCAAAATGTGAAATCTATAACTATAGAGCTTGTTAGCTATTTGCATATGGTAATGAGATTCATTTTTCCAATCATGTTTATTGTTAATAAATGTAAACTATAGGATTATTACCAAAAATGCACAAAATACCTCAAGTTTGAGCTCTAATATGGCAACTACTAGCTACATGTGGCAATTTTTTAAAATTCATTTAATTATATTTTTTTCAATTTTGATAGTTTTTGTTTGTTTGTTTTTTGTTTTTTGTTTTTTTTTTGAGACAGGGTTTTTCTGTATAACCTCAGCTGTCCTGGAACTTGCTTTGTAGACCAGGCTGGTCTTGAGCTCATAGAGATCCACCTGCCTCTGCCTCCCAAATGCTGAGATTAAAGGCGTGGCCGCCGCCGCCACCACCACCACCACCACCACCACCACCCATTTTTTAAATTTTGAAACAGAGTCTTGCTGAATAGTCTAGCATGGCCCCAATTCCAAGATCTTTATCCTCCTCAGTACTAGAATTGGCGATATGACATCATGCCAGACTTGGTTACTGAGTTGTAGTTCCAGCCAGAGGGACTCTCTGTTTATTATGGTTTTTATTCTGTGGTGTATGTGAAGTAAAGTTAAAGTGCAACTGTGTTTCTCTGCAGGTTTGCAGACCAGGGCCACACTGTAGTTGGTGTAGAAATCAGTGAAATTGGGATTCGGGAATTTTTTGCAGAACAGAATCTTTCGTACACAGAGGAACCACTCAATGAAATTGCTGGTGCCAAGGTATTTAAGGTTTGTATCGATTGTGGTGACTAGTTATTTCCATGCCTCACCAAAAATGACTTTTTCCCACGAGTACTTAAGATGTTAAACCAGTGTCAAATGGCTGCTCTTTACCACAGATCACCTACGTGTTATCCACTGTGATCAGCCGGGGCTTCAGATCACCTATGTGTTATCCACTGTGATGAGCCAGGGCTTCAGATCACCTACATGTTATCCACTGTGATGAGCTGGGGCTTCAGATCACCTATGTGTTATCCACTGTGATGAGCCAGGGCTTCAGATCACCTATGTGTTATACACTGGGATGAGCCGGGGCTTCAGCCTATAGATGGCAGCTCAGCCCTCGGAAGGTGGAGGCAGGAGGATCATGAATTCAAGACTTGCTGGGGGACGTCTTTCTGTATGCTGTGAATATATGCTGTTCCCATTGGTTGATAAATAAGCTGCTTTGGCCTATGGCAAGGCAGCTTAGAGACAGGCAGGAAACACAAGGAGAGAGACAGGAAAGAGACAGGTGGAGTGGGGGAGATGCCAGACTGCCATCCTAGGAGCAACATGGAATGGGATGCAGGTAAAGCCACGGAACATGTGGTGATGGATAAGTAGTTATGGGTTGAGTTAAACTATAAGAACTAGCTAGCAAGAGGCCTACCATAGGCCATACAGTTGATAATTAATATTAAGCCTCTGAATGATTATTTTATAAGCAGCTGAGGGACCGTGGGGCCAGGTGGGATGGAGGAACTCAGGACCATGGGGCCAGGTGGGACCTGAGAAAACTTATGGCTACAAAGGCTAGTCTAGGTTACATAGTGAGATTTTTCTCTCAAAACAAAAGATAATAGATAGACAAATATTAAAGATAAATGATAGAATTAGAGCTAACCATATAGATGATAGTTCGGTACATAGATGATGAATAATAGCTGAGTCGATATTAGGAATAGATATATAGATGTAGAATGTATATGTGCATATATCATGGTGCACATGTAGAGGTTAGAGTGCAGCTTGTGGGAATCAGTTCTCTCCTTCCATCCTGTAGGGCCCAGGGATTAAACCCGGTTGTCAGGCCTGGCGGCAACCTTCCCCTCTGAGCCATCTGGCCGGCCCCATCCAGGCTTTAAAAGAAAACATAAGTTACAGTTAAACTCCAATAAAGTTACTGTGTTTAACGTGTGTTCCCTCTATCTCCTTGGCTTTGTCTGAGCCCTGTTTCCTTCCTTGGCCATTTAAAAATTACCTAGCTAAGTGTAAAAATGTTTCCATTGTTTTATTACAGAGCTCTTCGGGGAGCATTTCATTGTACTGCTGTAACCTGTTTGATCTTCCCAGGTAGGACTGGGTGCTCCATTATGTGAGTGTGTGAGTGAGTGTGAATGAGTGGGTGGGTGAGTGTGAGTGTGACTGAGTGATCCCTTGCACCACTGTGTATGTATGTGTGAGAGAGTGAATGAGTGTGTGTGTGTAAATGTGAATGTGTGAGTATGTAAGAGTGAAGTTGTGTGTATGTGTGAAAGTGTGAGCAGGACATGGGAGTATATGTGTAAATGTGTGCGAGTGCATATGTGTGTGAATGTTAGTGTGTGTTTATCTGTGTGACTGAGTGCTCTATCTGTACCATTTTGTATGTGAGTGTATGTGAGTGTGTGTGACCGAATGTGTGAGAGTGTGAGTATATGTTTGAATGTGTACATGCTATGGCACATGGGTGGCAGTCAGGGGACAACCTTAGATGCCAGTCCTTGCCTGCCACCCTGTTTGAGACAGGGTTTCATGGCCACCGTGTACTCCAGAGTCGTTGGCCTTTACACTTATTGGATTCTCCTGCCTCCATCTCCCATCTCACCATAAGAGCGCTGCTATTGCAAACATGTCTTGCTTTTACATGAGCTCAGGCTATCTGAACACACGCCCTTGTGCTTCTGTGGTAAGTGCTTTACCCATCCACTTGTTCATTTATAAAGGGATGGTGGCACACGCCTTAACACGGTGCTTGAAACAGGCAAATCTCTGTTTTGATAGCAAGTTCCCAGTCTAGATAGAAAGTTCCAGGCCAGCCAGGGCTATATGGTGAGATGCTACCTAAAAAAAAGAAAAAGAAAAAAAGTGGTGCTCAGTCCAGCAAGATGGCTCAGAGAATAAAAGTGCCTGCCATGCAAGTCTGATGACCTAGGTTCAGTTCCCAAAGCCCATGGTAGAAGGAAGAACTAACTCCTGAATGTTGTCCTCTGACCTTCATGTGCATACCTTAGTAGGCATGTGCTTGCACACACATACGCACCACACATAGTAACAATGAGTAATAATAGTAACAATGAAGGTGGGTCTTGTTAGGCAGTGCTGGGGTGGGATGGGGAATCTGTTCACCACTCCTGTCTACCTCTGCAGCAACAAGAATTATTGTCCTACAACTGTTCTTACCAAAGCCCCATCTTTCCACTTCATGGGGTGTGGGAGTCTGTTTTCAGGTTCCTGGTGGCTTTTCCCAGCAGGTCCGCATAGAGTGCAGGTGTCTGAGATGGTCTGCACTTGGCTGTGCTGGGGGGAGGTCTTTTGCTCCACCCCTTGGTGTCTCTATAAATACCCTGAGGCAGAGATAGTCAAGGCCTGTTGGAATAGGTTCCAGGCCCTCTCAAGGCTATCCTGTATTTTCTATCTGTTTATCTCCACAATCTCAATCCTTCTATCTAATATTTCCTGCTGCTCTCACTCAAGAAAACTCTGGGGAGCTGTGGGGTTGGTGGGAAAACGTCCCACAATGGGGATAGCTCTCAAACTTTCCAAATTATTATTATGATCCAGAACAGCTAAAGGCAGGAGAGGAAGACTGTGTCATCCACCTGGCACCTGAGCCTGTAACCAGGAGGCAGTATGATACCTGACAGAGCCTGATGCCTGAGCCAGGGGCAGGGAACAGAGCTGTCACTCACTGCCTGTTGTGGGATATCCATACACCGTGTGAAGATGTATTGCTGTGATTGGTGTAATAAAAAGCTGGATGGCCAATAGCTAGGCAGGAGGTATAGGCAGGACTTCCAGGCAGAGAGAGAACTCTGGGAAGAAGAAAGGCAGAATCACCAGCAAGACACAGAGAGGAAGCAGGAAGTGATAGATGGAAGAGAGGTAACACCATGTGGGAGAATGTAGATTGATGTAAATGGGTTAATTTAAGTTATAAGAGCTAGTTGAAACAAGCCTGAGCTAAAGGTCGAGCTTTCATAATAAATAATAAGTATCTATATCATTATTTGTGAGCTGTCAGTGGATGAGAAAGCTTGGTACAGCTGTCCTCTGTCCTCACTCTTTTTCCCAAGTCACAGCAAAACAAGGAGACTGCTGTGGGAGTCAGGAAGTGGACAGTCCCCACTCTGGGTCAGTACACCCCTCTCAAGTCTATAAAGAAAAGCCAACATGAGATCCTGATACACTGATGATGGGTGAGGTCCCAACATGTCCCCTGGGGAACACCAGACATCTTGTTTGAGATTTGACCTTTTTCAGACAAAATGTAACAACTTTTCCCCTCTCTTTTGAGCAGAGTGGATATTGGCAAGTTTGACAGGATTTGGGATAGAGGATCATTAGTGGCTATCAATCCAGGTGACCATGACCGGTAAGTTGGTTTCTGAAAAGTTTTTGCACCACAATAAACTTCTCCATCAATGCAGCAATCCAAATCAGACCAAATTAGAAAAAGCCCTGGTTTAATGGTGATTCTCCGCCCCCCCCCCCAGAGGAGACAGGGACAAGAGACTGAAAAACCAAGTCTCTATTTTCAGGGGGGGGGGCAGTTTAGATACCCCGTGGGAGTGGTCTTGAGCACCTCTGGGGGAGGAGCTGTGTTTGGAGGGACTTTCTGAGGTGCAGGGTCTGGGCAGAGAGGTGGGCTTCCACCAGCACAGTTTCTTCACTTGTTTTGGTTTTCTTTGTGTTTACCTGAGTTCGAGGGAAGCTAAAGAATGTGTGATGCCAATGGTTCTGTCGCTTCGCAAGCTCTGCTGCCCTGTGCTGGGGTTCTCTAAGCCTCAGTTTACTCCTCCGCAACCTGAGACTATTTCTGCTAGCACCATCACCATGGCTAACAGCTGGTGGACTCTTGTCCTGTGCCAGGCATTGTTTGGAATATTCAGTGTGTGTTAACACATTTAACTAGCCTGACAGCCCTATGACATAGATGCTGTCTTGATTTCAATTTGCACATGAGAAATTTAAGGTCAAAGAGATGTGTCCCAACTTAGGCAGCTAGTACCTGACAGTTAAGATTCTAACCTGCTGAGTTTGCTTAGATCTCCACATCATATGACCTTGAAGAGTTGCTGTAGGAATTCAAAGAAAAGAAATATGGTGATCATATTTATACCTAGCTTTAGTAGAAAGCAAAGTTAAGAAAGCATGCAAGGGAAATGCAATCCTGTGTAATTTTCCTGTGTAAATAATGCCACATATGTGTCTCCTTGGATTTGACAGGTTAGATATTGAATTACTCATTAAATAGAGGCAGGCTCTTAACACATGGCCAAAAAGTTCAAGCTCTGAGTCAGGGACACATATTTTTTTTAATTAAAAAAAATCAATTGCATTATATGTAAGGCTATTGCCAAACCTAATCTTTGAAAATTAGAACATCCACACCAGAAATATACATATTTTCTTTCTTTCTCTGATAATTTCTCTCTCTCTCTCTCCTCTCCTCTCATTTTCCTACCTACATCCCACCCCACTCTGCTTCCTCATCTGGGCTTTTCTCTGCAATGCTTGCCCCTGAATGTTCACTGTATTCTGTTCTTTGTACTGAGCTTTCTAATAACTATTTATTACATTCCCATTAGATTCTCAGATGTAAGAGGTCACCTACAATGGCAGGAAGCACCGCCTCCTTTGGGTCCTATAGCCCAAGGTCATGGGTGGAGCAAATTCCACTACATTTCCCCTTTTTGTCTAAATAAGAAGGTTTTAAACTTAATGCAAACTGTATACGATAAGAATGATTATCAAATATTGTCCAGGAAAAACAAAGGGTAATAACATAAACAAAAATGGAACTACAACCAACAAGAACAACATCAAACAAGAAAGACATGCTAAATGTCCAGAAATGTCCAGATCATAGGTAAATGGCAAATTACCAAGATTATTTCGATAGCTGTCCTATCCTGAAGATTCTAACTTTAGTATCCAAAATGTTCTTAGCTAAGATATGAGAGGATTAAGCCGGGCGGTGGTGGCGCACGCCTTTAATCCCAGCACTCGGGAGGCAGAGCCAGGCGGATCTCTGTGAGTTCAAGGCCAGCCTGGGCTACCAAGTGAGCTCCAGGAAAGGCGCAAAGCTACGCAGAGAAACCCTGTCTCGAAAAACCAAAAAAAAATAAAAAAAAAATTAAAAAAAAAAGATATGAGAGGATTATAACTGTAACTATCTAGTCTTCAACTCCATCAAAGACCTGAGAAGGAACATAATAATACTTGAGAAAACGAAAAATACAAGCAAGCAAATTCCGAAATTCTTTTGAGAATAGACAGAGATAGCTGGCAGCCTGGACAGTCACTTAGTTTCTCAGCATCATTGGGGCATCCAATTTGGCTACAGGCCAGAATATCTGACAGATCATTTTCAGAAGCAGGAATTTTTTATAAGAACAGATACTACACTTGATCTTAGCCAAAAGGCTGAGAAGCGATAGAAGCAGGAATTTTAAAAGATCATCTTACCCTGTCTTAGCAAGGTTCAGTAGTCACTTCTCCTTGTGTCCTGCTCATCCAGAAAGGACAGCAGCATTCATACTGTCAACAGTTGAGGCAAGGGCAGTTCTTTGCCCAGCAGGCCATTTTGTGCCAAGAAGAAGATAAACTTTTAAACAGAAATGTCTCAGAAGCCCAACATTCTCTCGGGATCAGATCAGGGTCAGGTGCTGGGGAAGTGGGCATGGCTTTTGCCATGACAGTTCTGTTACCCAGCTCTTCCAAATATCCACATCACATTTCTAGTGCATGCTCTGCATTTGTCCTTCATCAGCTCAAAGCATCACTTGAAACTCCTGTGTCTTCATAGCACACTGTATTTGTGGACCACATTCAGTTCTGCAAAATGCTTAAGTCAGTAGCTGTTTCCTGAACCGCCTCCAGGATGTTCTTCTGTTTCTTTGGGCTTAGTCCCTTCGTGGATTTTGGTTTGCTCTATGAAAGTCCACAGGATGGTAGGGAGAGAGCAGAATATTGAGTTCATACCAAAGGGAAAACAGGTCCATTGGGCTCAGCTGTTCCCTCAGTATTGGACTTGATCCACATTTAGCACAGGTAACATCTCTGTAATTATTGTGACTAAATGAAGAAAATTAAGCTGTACATTAAGCAAGACAAGTGTACTGTTTCCTGCATCAGCTCCTCTGTCCTTAGCTGTGAAGGCCACCCTAGTGGACTCTGACCCTCTTTGTTCATGGCTAACAAGGCAAGTGACACCCAAGGGGAGGCTTACTTAGAGAATCAAGCTCTAGCTTGGCCAGAGAGTCTAGATCCTCCCTAGTCCCCGGCCCTCCCCCCCCCCCCCGGGGGGTGTGTGTGATCACAGGGGAAGCACACTCAGGAGCATGTTGGATATTGTTATCAGAATTAATTAATTCTGATTTATTTGTGTGTATGCATGCACATGTGTATGTATGTGCACACACGGTGGATGACCCTCGAGGTCAGAAGAGGGCATTGCATGCCCAGGAGCTGAAGATGCAGGTGTTTGTGAGCCAAACAGTGCACCTGCCAGGAACCAGGCTTCAACAAGGCCACACTTCCTAATGCTTCCCAAACAATTCCACCAATTGGGGACCAGTATTCAAATCTGTGAGCCCATGGGGGCCATTCTCATTCAAACCACCACACAGGTTTATATGTTTACTAGGAGAATTTCACTGCAGATAGTAATGTATAGTAAATGCTGGCTTCCTTTATTACCTCTTGCCCCCTCCAGCCTCTGTCTAGAGAAATGAAACATAATTTTTTGTGCTCTTTCTAGCTATGCAGATATTATACTGTCCCTACTGAGAAAAGAGTTTCAGTACTTCGTGGCTGTCCTTTCTTATGATCCAACGAAATATGCAGGTAACACTTGTTTTGTTTGCCTCATTTCATGATTTAATTCTATGTACGTGTAAGGATTTTTTCCCTGTCTTCTCTCATAGGATGCACACTGCTTGTGTGCATGGAGACAGTTCTGGGCTAATGAGAACAGGAAATCTTTGTGCTCTTCCGCACTGTCCATGTTTTCTTATATTCCTTTCCTGTTTTGTTCACCAGTCATAGTTCAAACTGTGGAAGGGGGAAGAGGACGATCCTAATGTAAAGAGATATCTCAAGAGCCCTAGAGTAGAAGAAAGAAATGTGGGTGCCCTGCCCTGGGCATTGGGTGACTATGCTGCCCCTGAGTTGGAGCTGCATGAAGCTAATGTTGATACACCCACAGATACCTCTCAGACAGGTGGGGAAGAGGCATGAGGAGCTGTGGGGGTTCTAGGGAAATCTCTCAAATAGTGTTTTTTGTTTTGTTTTGTTTTGTTTTTAAAACATGGTCTTACTTTAAAGCTCAGCCTGGTCTGGAACTTACTATATAGCCTAGGCTAGCTTTAAACTCAAGAAGATCTCTGTGCTTCAGTCTCCCAAGTGCCTGGACTGTAGACCTGAGCCCCCACATCTAGCTAATCTTATATGTTATCTATTGTATGCTACTACATTCTCTCTGATTTTTTTTTTTGTGTGTGTATAACATTTGGCGTCCGAGAGGATCAAACCCGGGGCATTATGGGTGTTAGGCAAGCCCTCTCTCACTGAGCTTCATATTTTCAACCTCTGAAAAGGTTCTTTCATCTGACTCATTGCAGGCAGGGTTTTCCTGTCCCACAGCCACTTTCAAATGATTACTCAGAGGCTTAATATTAATTACAAATGCTTGGCCAATAGCTCAGGCTTATTACTGACTAGCTCTAACATTTGAAGTTAACCCATATTCCTTCTTACGCTCTACCACATGGCAGCATCTTGATTAGCATGGCACATTCCATCTGCGTCTGGCTGGAGACTCCAGACTCTGCCCTTTGTCCTCTCAGCATTCTCAGTCTGGCTCTCCTGCCTAACCTTATTCTGTCCAGCTATTGGCCAGTCAGCTTCTTTATTAAACCAATCGCAGCGACATATCTTCACACAACGTAAAGGAATATTCCACAGCAGCTCATTTTGTTGTACTGGGAGGAAGCTTTTACAGCACTGAGGATGGACCCCAGGGCCTTCCAGGTGCCAGGCAAGTGCTGTCCCACTGAGCCACCTCCCAGCCTTGGACACTGGAGCTTAGTGTTTGCCTTGGACAGGCTTGTATTTTCATGAAGGAGTTAAAATCAAGTATTCAGACTTCTAATGGGTAAGATCCCTGGTGGTTTTCTTGTTGGGGGAGGAGGATGTTGTTTGGTTGGCCGACTGGTTTGGAGGCAATGTCTCATGATGAAGGCAACACTGGCCTCACACTCAGTGTCCTTCTCCCTCCACCCCTGAGTGCTGAAACCGCACCTGGTTCCCTGGGGTGGGTTGGTGGTTTTTGAGAGGGGTGGTTTTATGTAGCCCAGGCTGGCCTCGAACTCTTGATCCTGCCCCCTTGACTTCCTAAGCATTAGGATTACAGGTATGAACTAGCATGTCTGGCGTTGTTTGATTTTTAATTGAGCTTAAAAAAAAAAACCAACAACAACAGTGCCCTATCTTATTAATATTTATGTATGGTAGTCTTTTGTTGTTCTGTTTGAAAACCTTGGGTCTAAAAAACTCACTAGAAGATGAGACTTGGTATCTGTAGTTACGTCTGCGGCAGTCAGAAGGAAAGAGAAGTTAATGGAGGCAGAAGTGAGCTCTGCTCGTCTCATTTAAGTCCTGCTCATGAGCAGGAGGCCCAGGGAAGGCACCATGGGAAGCCGCACAGCTGCTCTGTCTGCGGTGGGGACAACACTGTTTTAAAGGACAAGGGGAAGATGCTGCCAGTCCCTGTCCCACCGCAGAGTGGGAAGAATGTAGTGACGAGAAGTGTGAAGGGCAGAAACCAGCACCCTGGAAGGCGAAGGACACCCCAAAGGAACCTGTCAGTGGGCTGCACTCTGACCCTGGACGTGAGCTATACAAAAGCCAGATTGTGGGGAGCAGGGATGCAGCTCAGCTGGTAGAGTGCTCGCCTAGCATGCAGGAAGTCTCTGGGTTGATCCCCAGCACTTTGAAAACCAGATATAGCAGTACATGCCCGCAATCTCAGTACTCGGGGCATAGAGGCAGGGGGTCAGAAGTTCAAGGTCATCCTTGGCTACATAGTGAGTTTGAGGCCTGCCTGAACTACATAAGACCCTATCTTTGAAACACACACACACACACACACACACACACACACACACACACACACACACACAAAAACCCCACATACACACAACAAAACTAGAAAGGCATGCTATACTATATCCTCACCTCTTTGTATTTCTCAGTAGTTTATAGAATAAGTATCCATAATATCACTGAAATTAAACTGAGAGTTGAACCCCGAGAATTTGGGAATTTGAGTTGAAAGATAAACTATTCTTCACCATACTTCTCTTTTCTTAGGCCCACCATTTTATGTTCCAGATGCTGAACTTAAAAGGTTATTTGGTAAGTTAACATTCCTTTTTAATACGCACATGTGTGTGTGTGTGTGTGTGTGTGTGTGTGTGTGTGTGTGTGTGTGTGTGTGTGATGTGGAGGTCACAGGACAACTTGCAGAAAGTCAGTTCTTTCCTTCTACTGTGTGGAATTGGGGGATTGACTCAGGTTGTCAGGCAGACTGCAGGCACCCTACCATGGGTTAGAAGTTATGCACTCTCTCTGTGTGTTTGAAACACACACAGAGAAAGAGAGAGAGAGAGAGAGAGAGAGAGAGAGAGAGAGAGAGAGAGAGAGA